TGGACTTTATCCTGCAGGCAACTGAGATGCTTTTTCTGGGGAAATTTCATTCACAGAACTTTATTCTAGGAGGAGAAATTGAGGAGAGGAAAATATTAGGGAAATGAATTAGCATTTTCTTCTGTAGCTTAATTCAGTTCATTAAATAGTTAGGGAATGGAGGTACAAATATTAGCAAGGATATTCCTTTCAAAAATGCCACAGATTAATGGGACACCAAACATGTCATTTAATTAATTAATTATTTTGAGGGTTTCACTACGTAGCCCATACTGGCCTCCAACTCACAGAGATTCTCCTGCCTGGGCCTCCTAAGGGCTAGGATGCAGATGTGTGCCACCACAACCAACTAGACATATTCTAGGAGTCAACACTCCAAATTTTGTCTAAAAGAGCATTGTGAGTGTATGATACCCACCTTAACTTTTTAGAAGTACTTTTAATGAATTATTAATTTTGATTTTATGAGTCTTACTATATTAAATAATGTATACTTAACTGGAAAATAAAATAAAATATTAAATTTTTAATATGTAATAAGTGTGTAGAATAAACATCAACGTTTTCAATAACAACTGTTTAACTGCGTAAAAGATCTAAATAATAACAGCAGAAATAAATTTCTATGAGAACTACCATGAGAATACAAGTAAAGCTCTACCACAGAAATAATCTTTACTTAATTATCACACCTAAGGCAGTCTTCACACATGACAACGTGTTCCACACACAAATCTCACTTACACGGACAGCACATGTGCTTAGCCTCCTTTCCTGTTTGGCAGGCCGCACTTGTCACCTCTTTTCCTCTTATGTTAAGAACTTGCTGTTATTTCACACAGCGTGTACTTAGCAGGAAAACGAAACGTCAATAAAATAAAATATCAAATATGTACTGAGTGTTTAGAACAAACATCCACATTTTTACATCATCAATCATTTGTCTGCTTCCTAACCCTAAATGATAATAACAAATAAATTCCTGTGTGAACTACAGTGAGAATACAAGAAAAATTCTACCGCAACAATAATCTTAACTTCAGTTATCACACGTATGGCAGTTTCTACACATGAGAACAACACATTCTGGACATTAGTATCTCTTACACTGACGGCACATGTGTTTTGTTGTCCTGTCTTCTTTGGTGGGACACACTGACGTCTTGCTGGTCTTCCCATTTTCTTAGGATGTTCTTGTGGGGTTTTGCCTGTCTGTTCACAGGTCTGCTCCGGAACTGTTTTGTGGACTTCTTCAGGCAGATACGTACTGTTCTTCCTCTCTAGTGATTCATCATTTATTATTTCAATTAACAACCTTCTAAAAAATTTTTCTACCAATATTTGTGCTTGTTAATTTCTTTTTAAACTATAAAACTATTTATATCTGACATGTTCGGGATCAGTAAAACACAACCATTGGCCAATACTTTGTGTTTCAAGTGATATTATGTTGCTGCATAACTCATCAGCAACATCTATCAGCCTTTGATCTTGTTGACCATTTCTGGCTTCATTTGTGTTCAGAATTCACCATCAATCTTTTTTTTTTGTTTGGTCTTTTGAGACAGGGTCTCAGTACATAGTCCTGGCTGGCCTTGAACTCATTATGTAGCACTGACAGAGCTTGAACTCATAGGATCCTCCTGCCTCAGCTTCCCAAGTGCTGGAATTATAAGTATGCATCATCATGCCCAGCCTCATTGTCAGTCTTATCATCATAATGTAGTGTTGACAGCTATATTACTTTGTTTTTTTTCCCCAACATATAGTAGGCCAATTTATGTCTTCTGAAATCCAAAGACTGTAGTAGACAGTTCTCCATTGAGAACTTGCTGCATTTTTTCAAGAATCTCCACTTTGTTCTTACAAATAGTTTCTGTGCTAATCAACTGGGTTTTTTTGTTGGTTGGTTGTTTGGTTGGTTTTTGTATTTTAGCAAATGTGACAGCAATGGGTAACTCAGGAACCAAATCAAATTTGACACTTGGGCAACTTTTTGAAATAGGTGAAACAAGTCTGTTCACAATGTCATCCAGTCTATTACTGCATGAAGGAAGACCTGGTGGCTGATTCCAGGATAAATTTCTAAATTCGAGGTGTAAAACATATTCACACCCAACAGGACATACATTTTTATACCATATTTGGGATGTTTATTTGGCATGTATTGCCATAAACTTCAACAACTGTGAAGCGATGCAAGTTGTTTGTGAATTGTCATGTATTCAGATGATATATAAACTGCTTAAAAGTTCAAAACAAAGCTTTCAAAAAATAAGCAAACAGCAGCCAAATTGTGGGATTTTTTTTTTCTTTCTTATTTCTGGGTGGTTATTTCTGTCATCAAAAAGGTAATTTTGAAAAAGACAAAATCTCTTGAGTATCACAATTGTTCTAAAGTTTTCAGTGCCACTTCTGTCACTTCCCCATAAATCCACTGAATTCTTGCTATTAGAATGACAAAGTCCTTCTGTGAAGGCCTTTAGTGCAACAGTAAGGTGTCATGATGAATACATATTTGAGTATTACTATTGATGCATATAGAATATTTCACTTGTATTTCATTATTCGTGTACTTCACAGCACCTTGTAGGATATCATCCATTACAAACAATTTCCAACACTGAATGGCACCTTTGGCTTTCTGTCCAGTAGATTTTATCCCTGCGAAAACCTAAGAACATTTTCCAACCTAGTTCTAATGTTGGATCCTTCAGGTATACATGATCATGTTGTAGCGTTTTGACTAGTCAAATATTTATTCACATTACTGTTTTCTTCCTCATATGAATCAGTCTTCATTCTGTACTTCACTATGTCATACCTTGCTAACTTCTTTGGCTTACATGATCCAAGTCATCACTAGAGCTGAGTCATCTAATGATTACTTTTTACCTCCTTCCAATGTTGTAAAAGCAGATTTTCATGTGACATTGTACTGATTTGGGCTAATTTTACAAGAAAAATCAAAATAAAACATGTAATAAAATTATCAATACACAAAAATGTAGCATTGGTGAAACTCACCCATTTAACACTTTGACATATTTGCACATCCCTTGCCATTTTTCTTACCAAGTAAGTAAACACAAAGATTTTTTCCTGTATTCCCCCAACTCGGCTACTAAGACACAGCCAGCTACTTCTGTGCTAAAGTACATATTTTCATTAGAAAAATATGGTCGGCTTCTATTTTACCCACTATGATGCCCTTTATACTACAGACACTTCTGTTGTAGTGTCTTTTGTATGTTCCTGAAAAAATATTTGTATTTGCAAAATTTTCACATTACAAAAAATGCAGGGCTTAGAGGAAAAGTTTGCAGACCATTCAAAGCCTATGCAACTTTGAAACTAGAATACTAACTGAAGCAGTAACAATCTTAATATAATCTGAAGCATTGCTAAGACTTCATTATTTGTTTGGCGCACAGCACATTTGTACCAATATTAATGTCTGTTGACCCTTTCTTGACTTACTCCCTAGGCTCACTATTCCTTTCTAGTGTCTTTACAACATTCAGTTGTAACAGAGACCAGCTGTATTAAAATTTAAAAATTGTATCCAGTGTATTTAACATATGAGGATTGTTTCACAATTACTTGTCTTCAAATTCCCTATGCTACTTAATGTTTTGGAAAGTATAGCTGTTCTTGTAGCAACTAATCCCATACCTAATACAAGGCATTTCTTAGGCTTCCAATTCTTTTATTTTTCTAATATATTAATAAAATATTTTTTGGATAGCAAGGAAGTTTTCCCTTGATCTTTTCAAAACATGAACATTCTTAGAAAATTTATAAATGGGCTGACATGATATTAACCTCGACATTATATTGACTACAGTAACCTACTTAATCACAAATGACCTAATTTTCCTTGGAAGATGACTATTTTAAGATTTGGTATATGCATATATGTAAAAATGCTACACAATATGAAACACAATATTCTGTAATATATACGAATAAAAGGAACTAGTAGAAATTTATCAGAAAGTACATCAGAAGACATGATGTCATGAAACATTTTAGGGTAGAGGCAAAAATTGTTCTCAACATTAAGGAATCACAGAGAAGGGATATTTGTTTTAACTTGATATCTTTGGGCGGAGTCCATGAAAAAGTGAAATCTTAGTCAATTCTTGGGGAATAAGCAGTAACTGACCAAGTGAAGGTGGTGAGAAAGGCATACTTCTTGATAGAGAGAGAACTGAAACACAGGTCACCAGAGTTGCCTAATACTGCACAGATAATAAAAAATTAGAACTCGTATTTATACATAATATTTAGCAATATTGTCTCAAATTATACCTTTTACAACTAAGCTAAATTATCTTTTCCTATATTTGCTATTTAGAATATATTTCCATAAACTGAGTAAGAAATATTGAGGGCCTGAATACTACTACTGATGCTAGAAATTAAGATTAAATGAATAGGAGAAAGCAGGAAATTAGTTACACAGGATTGTCATTAGTTTAATATAGGGATAAGAAAGGGAAAAATTAATTTCTAGTCAGGGGAAACTGATTGTTATAATAGGAACAGTACTATCTGAAATTTGGAATAAAAAACAGGAAACAGGATTTGAGAGAGGATGCTAAATTCTGCTTTGGACATGTTGAAGTTAATCAGCCAGTGGAAAATAAGGTGTAGCTAAATAATTGAATCAATAATTATAAATGTAGGACTGAAGCTCAGAGAAAAGTTCAAGGCTGAAACTCTAATGATATCATAACAAACTACGAAAGGGTGAAAATTCATGAGATTTTACTTTAGATGATCACAGATGAATACCTAAGCATCAGGCAGAGGAGACTCAACTCACAGCAGAGACCATAGCATGATAGTCTTGAAAGTAGGAATGAGCATTGTCACAGAACCCAGAAGCAGTGAGACTGCAAGAAGGGAGTGTGGTGTCTGGGTGCATTCATACTACAGCAAGAAAAATCAGCTGCCTGGCATATAAACAGTGGAATTTTATTTTCCCCTTCTAGATCCTGGGAGATCCAAGAACAATGATCCAATGATCCAGCAGACTTGATATCTGGTGAGAACCCACTTCCTCTTTCACAGATGGCCATCATTTCACTCACTATATACTCTACTGATTCAAGAGGGACAAGAGTTCACTCGTGAATAAAAGGCACTAAGCCTATTCACGAGGCCTCCACCATATCATGGGTTTGCAACTTATCAAGGATCACATCTCCTAATACCACTGCCTTAGAGATTAGCGTTTCAACACGTGAGCTAGATGGGAACATACACATTGAGTCCATGGCAAATGGTACACGAAATCCCATGGAGAGACCTATTTTAAAAGAAGTCATTAACAACCTGGATAGATGCAAACTTAGAGAATGGGTAAAGAAGAAAGGTTGACTGCAATAGTCGAAGAAATACAGAATTAAAGAAGTATGTAGACTGTTCTGTTAAAAAAATGTTGCCTGAAAGGGCAAAGAGGGCTAGAATGGTCAGGTATAAGCCCTAGAATCAAGGGAAGGGCATTTTAGGATAGAAGGATTAAAATGTATTTAAATGTTAAGGCAAAGAGTTAATTAGTCATGGATATTTAAAATGTGGCAGTGGTAGGGTGTTATTTGTGGGATGAATTCCTGAATTGTGCAACAGGTGAAGAAGGGTGGAGTCTGACCGAGGGGAGTGTCATGGTTAATCTTGATTGGCAGCCTGAGTGGTGTGAGAGGCAGACAGCTAAGAGAATACGAAAGTGCACACTTGGGTGTGCCAGGTGGATCAGAGGATGTGACCCTGGGGATGATATCTGCTTCCTTGTCCCTTCCTGCCGTGCTTATCCCCTGCTCTCTGCTTCCTGGCTGCCATGAGCTGAGCAGCTTTCCTCCGTCATGCCCTTCTCCATATTATTACTAGCTTCACACCAGCCAACTTTAGGCTGAACCCTCTGAAACTGCAAAACAAAATGAATCTCTTTCCCTTAAAAATGGAGGTGTTGAAAATCAGACCTGAGGGCAAATGAGATGTGCACTGGTAAAGTGACTAACAGAGAACAGTGAAGGATTTAAGGTGTTTTTAAAGAATAATAGTTTAAATGTTAATATTATTACTGATAGGTTAGACAACTTTTGTGAATCATGTGGATTTCCTTAGCAATTTTTAGCAGCCTGAGGTGGTGGAAAGGAAAAAGCACATAATAAAGATAATTGAGATGATAGGCTTTCCTAAATGGACACTATTTTTTGTACTAAGTTTCTAGGTAAATTATTTTAGGTTATCTTCACACCAAACCTATAATGCAGCCATTTTTATATACATTTTACTAATGAGGAGATTGTAAATTTGAATAAATTTGCAAGCCACATAGGAAGACTAACAGGTTCATTTGAACATAAAAATCTGTTCTTCAGGGCCGGGGATTTAGCTCAGCAGTTCGATGGTCTGCCTCACAAGCGCAAGGACCCAAGTTCGATCCCCAGTACCAAAAAAAAAAAAAAAAATATTCTTCACACAATTAAAGCTAGGAATTTTTTTGTTTTGTTTTGTTTTCTGTTCTACTGATGAAAGCTGCCCATGGAGGAAATGCTGGTATACTATCTTTACCTTGTAAAGGGGTTCATATGGGAAAATCGAAAATACATGCTGTTTATTATCTCTCATTATTTATCATATCTCATTCTAGAAATGCATTTATTTTTTTATTTATTTTCCCTTTTCCCTGCCTTCCTTTCAACCCCTCCATCCTTCCCTATCTACAAAGGCTTTGTTCCCATTTTTTTATTTTCTCATATTAATACCATTCCCTTCTTTCTTTTCCCTCCTCCCTCCCACTTCCCCTCCCCCTTTTCACCTTTTCTTCCTATTCACATTATCTATTATACTTTTTAGTTCTTATTTCTACATTCAGTTGCTCACACTTGAGAAACTATTCAGTATTTACACATGTGTGTCCTATGTATTTCTCTTAAGAGTATCACCTCAATGTGATATAACTATAAATGGCCCTAGTTTCTCATTCTTTATGGCTGAGTATCACTCCATTTAAAAAAAAACACACACAAAACATTTTCTTTATCCAGTTTCCAGTTGATCAGTAATTGGGCTGCTTGCAGGTTTCAGCAACTACAAATTGTGCTGCCATCAACATGGGTGTACATATATCACTGTGGTGTGATACTTTAATTCTTTGGAAAAGACACCCAGCAGAGGAATAGCTGGGTCAAATGTTCTTTGAGGTATCTCCACACTGATTTCCACAGTTCTTGCACCAATCTGCACTCCCACCAGCAGTGGAGCAGGGCTCCTCTTTCCCACAGCCCCTGCCAGCATTTGTTATTAGTTGATTTCATGAGAGCAGCCATTCTTTTTGGAGTGAGATAGAATCTCAGCATTGTTTTCATTTGTATCTCTTGAATGACCAGTAATGTTGAACATTTTTTCATATGTTTATTTGCTATTTCTACTTCTTTGTCTGAGAAATGTCTGTTTATTTCAGATTCCCATTTTTAGATTGGGTCTTTAAATTTGGGAGGTCTGATTTTATTAATTTTTTTATATATTCTAGATAGCAGACCTTTGAGGAACAGGTGGAAATATTTTTTCCCACATTGTGGGTTGTCTTTTCATGCTTGGTGGTTTCTCTTGCTGTGGAGAAACTTTTTAATAAGAAGAAGTCCCAGTTGTTGACTGTGCTAGTTCACAGGCAACTGATGTTTTGTTCATAAAATCTTTTCCTACACCAGTGTCTTCAAGACTTCTATATAACCTTTCTTCCAGGTGGTTGAGTGTTTCTGTTTTAATATTTAGATCTTTAATCCATTTTGATTTTAGTTTAGCTCATGGTGAAAAGACACAGGTCTAGTTTTAAATCTTTGGCAAATTGAGGCCCAAGTTTTCAGCACTATTTATTAAAGAGGCTGTCTTTCTTCCAGTGAGGGTGTTTGGCTCCTTTGTTGAAGATGAAGAAGCTGAGTATGTCTGAAGTGGTTTCTGAATCTTCTAATCTGTTCCACTGGTCCTCGGGTCTGTTTCTTTGCCAGTACCATGCTGTTTTTATCACAGTAGCTTTGTGGTGTACTTTCAAGTTGGGGATTGTAATACCCCTACCTTGTCTATGTTCCCTAGAATTGTTTTTGCTATTCCAGATCTCTTCTTGTTCCAAGTGAAATTTTGGATTGTTTACTCAAGGTCTGTGAATTATGTTGCTGGGATTTCAATAAGACTTGCATTGAATCTATATAGCAGTTTTGGTAGTATGGCTATTTTCACTATGTTGATTCTTTCTACCAGGAACAATTGTTGTCTTTCCATTTTCTGCTATTCTCTTCAATCTTTTTTCAGAGTGCTGTAGTTTTCAGAGTAGGGGTCTTTAACTTCTTTTGTTAGATTGTTTCCTAGGTGTTTCAGTTTTTGTGACGCTATTGTGAAATAAATTGATTGCTCCATTTCTCTCTCAGTGAATCTGTTTTTCATGTACAGAAAAGCTATTGATTTTTTAGTGTTGACCTTGTATCCAGCTCCTTTATTGAATGTTGTTATTAAGTCTAGAAGACTTTTGGTGGAGTTCTTGGGGTCTTCATGGAGTCGTCTTGTAGTATTATGTCAACTGCAAATAATGACAGCTTAACTTCTTCATTTCCTATCCTTATTCCTTTTATTTCTTTCTTTTGTCTAATGCTGTGGCTTATGTTTCCAAAACTGTATTGAACAGGAGTGGAGATAGTGGACATCTGTGTCTTCTTCCTGCTTTCAGAGTGAAGGATTTCAGTTTTTGACCACTTAGTCTGATATTAGCTGTTGTTTTTCTTAATAGATGGTTTTTATCAGATTGAAGTAGAGACCTTCTATTCTACATTTTTGGAGGGTTTTTATCATAATAAGTGTTCTGTTTTGTCAAATCCTTTTTCAACATGTACTGAGATATCATGTTTTTTTCCTTGGCTCTATTAATATAGTGTATTACATTTATTGATACCTGCATCCCTGGGATGAATCCCCCTTGGTCAGGGTGTATGATCTTCTTGATGATCTGCATTCTATTTGCCAGTATCTTATTAAGGACTTTTGCATCCATGTTCATTAGTGAGATTACCCTATGGTTCTGTTTTCAGCTGGGTCTTTCTCTGCTTTGGAGATCAAGGTGAAGCTTGCTTTCAGTAATGAATTTGGGAGTATTTCTTATCTTTTAATTTCAAAGCATACTTTAAACAGTAGTGGCAGTAGTTCCTCTCTAAATGTCTTATAGCATTTAGCAGTGAAGCCCTCAGGACCTGGGCTTTTCTGAGCTGGTAAGTTTTACATTATGTTTTCAATTTCACCTTATTGGTGTATAAGTTCTCAAAGTAGGCATTGATGATCCTCTTGATTTTTGCTGTGTCCATTGTAATTTCACCCTTTTCATTCCTAATTGCATGGATTTGGGCCTTTTTTTTTCCTTTTTTCTATAAGTTTGGCTAAATTTTGTCCGTTTTGCTTATTGTTTCAAAGAACCAACTCTTTGCTTCATTGATTTTTTTTATATTGTTCTCTTAGTCTCCTTTGCATTTATTTCTGCCCTGATTGTTATAATTTCTCCCCTTGTATGAACTTTGGATTTGTCCTGCTCTTCTTTTTCTAAAAGCTTGAGGTTCAGCATCAGGTTGTTTAATTGAGCTCACTCTGTTTTCCTAATATGAGTATTCATTGCTATGAGTTTTCCTCATAAGACTGCTTTTATTGTGTCCCATAGAACAACATGTTTTATTGTCATTGTTGTTTAATTGTGGGACCTGTCTGACTTCTTCTTTAATTTCCTTTGTGATCCATTGGTTATTCATAAGTGTGTTGTTCAATTTCCATGTGTTTATGAAATTCTTGTGGTTTCTTTTGCTATTGATCTCCAATTTCATTGCACAATGGTCTGATAATAAATGGGGGATAACTTTATTTCCAATGCACTTACTTAAACATGTTCTATGAGCAAGTATGTGGTCCAGTTTGGAGAATGACCAATTTGCAGCTGAAAAGAATGTGTATTCTGATTTTTAAAATTTAGTTTATTGGGCTGCGCGGGAGCTCCCGG